GCCGCTCCCCAAGGGACAGCAGGGACTCGCCCAGCTGGGACCGGATCCTCCTGCGCCCACGCGGTGTTTCTTCGGTGCTTTTAAAGCGTGGCTCAGGGAAAACTAAAGTTTTCGCTGAGGATAATCCAGTTTCTTAAAGCGTACGAGCTCGATTTTCTCATTTCACTTAATTGGGATGTAGCTACGGAGGATCCAACCAACCGGCGTGGCACGTGGGTGAAGTTTTCTGTGTGTGGCTCTGTCAGATCCCTGCTGGATCCCCTGGCTGAGCGTTTCCGACGTGTAGCCTCTGAGTGTCGGTGGTGTCTTAACTCCCTGAGACGCCTCAAAAATTTTGTGGTTAGCCGTAATTTCTAAATTATTGATCCTAATCACTGAAAAGTGGTCCTGCGAGGTTTGGGGGTTTGTCACCTGCTTCCCAGTCTCTCTGTGGAGAAATGCCGTGGTGCTGCTGCCCATGTGTGGGTCTCGGAGCAGAGCGACTCTTGGGTCCGGCCTTTGCTGTGGGAGTCACTGTTGGTTTTCAAATCGCTGTTAAGGAATATCGAGGAAATCCTGGCGGCCAAAGGGGAGAAGGTGAGACGCGTGGCTGGTGAGGAAGCCTTGGAATTGCTTCTGGAAAGCTCGGCAGATCCCGGGGCTCAAGGTCAGCTCACGGAGGGAGAAAGCGGGGACGCCTCCCCGGAGCCTGGCAGCGAGGGACCTGACGAACGGGATCGGTGTCATTCTGCTGATGGCAAGAGAGACTCTTAACCTTTATTCCCTGTTTTCAGCGGTCTCGGTTTAAAATAAACTCGGGCATTGGTCTTTCCCTGGCACGTGTCTTTGTCTTGTGCAGTTTTGCCTTTGGTCAAGCTAAGAAATTTAGAGGTGGAGTGTGGATATTTCTCCTGGTACTTGTTTTGCCGACTTTTAGGCAAGTCTTGGTGCTTCAGCGGTGTCAGCAGCCCTGCTGTGCTCCCTGCCCAGAAGGGAACCTGTAATCCTTTGTCAAGAGTGCTTGGGCTCAGCTGTAGCGAGTGGCTTTAGCGATGTCTCCTGGCCTGGCCCAGGTGCCTCAGGTTTGGTTTGCAGAGCTGGGTCACCTGGTGGAGCAGAAGAGGCAATTGGTGCCACCTGAGGAGATGGGCCTGACCCTGGGAGAGTCTGCAAAGCCAAAACGACCCTGTGGGAGGGTCAGATCGTGACTCTCGCTGCAGTCACGTGCTGCTTTTACCTTTCTCTCACCACCTTCCAGAGTTTTGGTTTCAGCTCTCTTGCGTCGGGGCTGAAAGTTTTCTCTATTTGTGAGTTGTAGTGTGAGTCCCCCGTGGGAGCCTCAGCCCACGTGCTCGGGGATCCCACTCGAGACGATGAGTCGGCGACGGCTCCTGCGTCGGGGTTATGCAACTTCCTCGCTGTGAGGGGGAGGATGGGTGCGAAGGCAAAATTAATGTTTGTGAAGCGTTTCGGAGAGGAGTACCTGGAAAGTTGGTTTCGAGTTACTTGACAGATACTGAGGTGCTTATTAACGCTACTGCTGCGTGTTAAGATGGGTTAGGAGTAAAAATAATTTAAGAAATGAAAAAATGTAGGTGTTTACCAGCAGGTAGTGCTCGGGTAGTGATGAGTCAGGCAGTGAGGTGATCACATTGTACCTGTTAGGGCTTACGTCCTCTGCCTGCGTGAAAGTTTAACTTTTCTTGACATCCGTTAGCCAGCGGTCTAGTGAAGAATCTGCTTTCTTAGGGTTTTGAACTTGATGTCGATGAATAATACAAGTTGGAAGAGATTTCTGGAGGTTTCTAGTCTGACCCCGTTGCTCAAAGGAACTCCAGTTAGATACAGGTGCTCAGGGTCTTGTCTTGACTATGTCTGAGGATGGAGATCCCACAACCTTGCTCTGGTATTTGACCAATCCCACAGTGAATAAAACCCAACAGAGATTTCCCATGTTTCAGCTTGCACCCATTGCCTTCTTTCCAAATGCTGTGCACGTCTGGGGAGAGCTCGTCTCTCCGTCCTCTCACTCATGAGCTGTGGAGAGCAGTGAAATCTCTCTTAGCCTTTGTGTCTCTGGGCTGAACAAACCTAATTCTTTCAGCCAAGCATGTCCAGGTGCTTGAGGTCCTCAATCAGCCAGTATTCAGTGAGGGCTTTGCATGTATTTGTATCAATGAGTTTACCGAAACATTCACAGTTATTTAATGTGTGTTGTGTTATGAGCATAGGTCAGAGTGACAGGAAAGCAGTCGTGTTTTGCTGTAGGTGCCCAAGTTCAGGGTGATGAAAGAGGGTTATGAAACAGCGTTGAGGGACAGGGCCTTCATCCGTGAGCCGGCTCATGTGTGTTCAGCTCCTAGTGAAGGAAATACAGGGCGCTCGGAGCCGAGATGTTGGGGCGACCCACGGAGTCCTGCGTCTTGGACCACTGCTGTGTGCTCACCCTGGCACGTATTAGCACTCTGCTGGAAGAGCACTTGTTTTATTACCTTTTTCCCTGAAAAATCAGCATTCTGCTAATGCCTTTGATGGGGTGGAACAGAGCAGCTGGTGCAGGATCCACGTTGCCTTGGAAACGTCATTTACAACTTGACTTTTTTGTGCTGTCTGCCTTACCTTTCTCACCTGTTCCTGTGTCCCCAGAAGGCTTTGCTGCAAGAGATTGCAGTTGAAAAAGGTATTTTGTGCTCCTTGTTGAGGTGGGTGGTTCTGCAAAAACTTGTGTCACGGGGAGGTGTGTCTGTTCTTCAAAGAGCCCGGAGGGGAGCACGCTTGGTCTAGGAGGAGCCCGGCAGATCTTGCTTTAGCCAGAGGCGAGGGAGCGGGAAGAAGAGGAAGATGCCTTTCTCCTGACCTGGACCTGTGTCAAGATGAGGGGAAAAAGCGTCTTGATGGCCTGATGCAGCAGAGGAGAGTGACTGCGGGCGCAGCCAGCCAGGGTGAGTGTTGGTGGAACAGAGGAGAGGTGACGAGTTCAGGGTGGGGGGAGCACACACAGTAGCGGTCACAGGAGCGTAAAGCAGTCTGCACGTTCCTTGACGTGGTTCACTGGGGCTGCGAAGGGATTCTGTTCCTGAATCCTATCCCATGAGGGCTTTTTTGCAAAGTGGCAAATACTTTGCCTCGGGTTTTCTTTCTGCCTCTCTGAGCGCATCTTCATTTTTATAGTGTGGCCAAATGCCAGCGTTAAGCTGGCTGGCCTGGGACTCGGCTGGGCCGTGTTTGTTAGCTGGGAGGTTGCTGGTGTTCTGGCAGGAGGGCAGTGGAGTTTGGTAAAGGTGGCTGGGACGTGAGGGGGACCAGGAAGGGGACTTGTGGAAGCCCAAACAGGGGGAAGATTGGGATGCAGAGGCTTGTTTTGTGGGGCTACCTGACCTACCCTCCTGCTTTTTTTTTTTTTTTTTAATTTTTTTTCTTTTTGCTACCAGCGGTCATGTATGTGTGACATGTGCCGCGTGATACTGTGCCTCCTGCTGCCGAGGTGGCAGCTCGACACCCTGTAGCCTTCTGGGACCCTCGCCGGGGGATCTGTGGCTCACCAAAGGGGCGATTGGGCAGGTGAGTCCTTCTCCTGTCACCTCAG